GCTGCTCCCCTGCCCCCACCCAGCCAGGTGTCCTGCACCCGCCCCAGCCAGGTGTCCTGCACCCCCACTCCAGCCTGGGTGCTCCCCTGCACCCCGCCCGGCTGGCGTGGCTCAGTGGTTGAGTGTCGACCTATGAACCGGGAAGTCAAGGTTCCTGGTCAGGGCACATGCTCGGGTTGCATATGGGGGGGGGGGGGGGGGGGGGGATGTGTAGGAGGCAGCCGATCCGTGATTCTGTCTCATCATGATGTTTCTCTCTCCCTCTCCCTTCCTAAAATTAAAAAAAAAAAGATGCCAGTGTGGCTCAGTGGGTGGAGCGGCGTCCTATGTACGGAAGTGTGGAGGGTTTGATCCCCGATCAGGTTGGGGGGGTACGGGAGGCAACCGATGTTTCTCTCTCTCTCTCTCTCTCTCTCTCCCCCTTCCTTTCTCTCTCAAAAAGAAAGAAAAGAAACCCCCAGGCCTCTCAGCCCCAGGCCCCTCAGCCCCAGGCCTCTCAGCCCAGGCCCCTCAGCCCCAGGCCCCTCAGCCCAGGACGGTCAGCATGCGCCGGGCACCCAGGGCCTGTGTGACAGGCTGCACTGGGACCCGCAGGAATGAAAGGCTGGCGCTTAGAGAGAAGCCGCACTCTGCAGACCCCTGGGCGTGGGGCCGTGCGGCTCTGCAGGCTGTCCCGCCTCTGGGGGAGTGGGCGTCACCTCGAACCCACCCACGGGTGTGTGATGGGCTTGGAGGGCCTGCGTGCTGGGTGGGGCAGGGAGCCGCATGACCAGGATCCTGGCCCAGGGCAGGATGCTCGGGGGCCCAGCCTGTGGGGGGTGGGGTGGGGCAGCCCCGGGGACCCAGATTTTGGGGGGTAGGGTGGGGCAGCCGCGCACCGTTGCTGCAGATGACGCCGGCGTCCTGGTTGTGCCTGCACTTGCTCCTCAGCCAGCCCAGGGACGAGCAGTTGGCCAGCGAGGGCTCTGTCCCCAAGCACTGCACTTCGTCCAGCATGATGGGGCCCGTTCCTGGGGGACAGCGAGGACAGACACTGGAGGGGCTGGGGCTCCCCGGGACGCCTGACAAAGAGCTGTCACCTCGCAGGGGCGGGGAGGGCATCCCAGCCCTGAGCGCGGTTACGTCGTGCCCACGTGGGTCTTTCCAGGGTTCGCCGTGGCTACTTGACTGCGGGCTCCCGCTTCTCTGTGCCACCCGCTAGCCTTCCTCCCCGGTCCGCCCGCCCCATGGACAGGGAGTTACTGAGTCTCGGTTATTCCCTCTTAGGAGTCACAGCCCTGTGCGGGGAGGTCTTCCTACTCAGCTTTCCTTCGGGTGATGCGTTTCAGGAAGGTCAGTCCCCGGGAGAGGGGCTGTGGCCGAGGCACGGCCCTGGCTGAGCCCGAGAATGACGTGCCACAGGCAGGGGAGTGAGCACAGGCGGAGGGAGTGGGAGGCC